GAACACTTCATGGGGCCCCTTTGAAGTCAGGAGACATTGTCGGACTGGCAAAAACATCATGCAAACAATGTTCTGACCTTCGAAGTATCCCTGGCAATGGATGAACTGCTGCTGTCCCCAGACCTTGTAACCTGTCTGGACAAAGGTCCAAATGAAGCCCCCAGTATGCCAGCAACTCCTGCACCAGCAGCTGCTATCCCAGCACCAGCCCCCTTCTGGCCCTTGTCATCCTTTGTCCCTTCCCAGAAGACCTACCTGGACAGCTATGGTGCCAGTTTAGGATTCCTGAATTCTGGAACAGCAGGTCTGTAAACTGCACATATTCCTCTACCCTCAACTTCTTGTTTGCCAGCTAGCAAAGACCAGCCCCCTGCAAGTGTAAGTCAGCTCCCCACCTCCACTCAGTACCTATGTCTGTGCCATGGCCCTCTATGAGAAATCCAAGTGCATGACAGAGGTCATAAGGCACTTATGTTTCTACCATGAGTGTTGCTCTGACAATAGCGATAGTCTGGCCCCTTCTAACCATCTTATCTGGGTGGAAATGAATTTATGTGCCTAGTATTTGCATGACAAAAATACATTTCAACATAGTATGGATGTGCCCTATGAGACACCTGATGTGAACTCAGACTGTACCATCATTCGCTACAACTTCATGTGTAACAGCTCCTGCATGGGAGGCATTAGCTGGTAGCCCATGTTCACCATCACCATGCTGAAAGATTCCAGTGGTAATCTGCTGGGACAGAACAGCTTTGAGATGTGTGCTTGCCCCTGTTCTGAAAGAGACCGGCACCCAGAAGGAGAAAATTTCCACAAGAAGGGAAAATCTTGACTCAAGCAGCCCACTGGGAGCAGGAATTCAGCACTTCCCACCAACACCAACTCCTCTCCCCCACCAAAAATGCCACTGAATGGAGAATATTTCACCCTTCAGATCCATGAACTCTTCCAGACATTCCTAGAACTGAATGATGCCTTAGAGCTAAAGGATGGAAAGAACCCAGAGGGGAACAAGACTCTCCAGCCACTGAAGTCTATCTAAAAAGGGGCAATCTACCTCCCACAATAAAAAAACAACAACCATGTTTAAGAGAGAGGGACCTCACTCAAACCACCTCTGTTTCCTTCCCCCTATTGACACCCCACCCTTGTCCCCATTTCCTGGCATTGTGGGGGGTTTAGAAGCTTAAACCTCAGCTTGGTACAGATGTACCTCAGGAACACCCCAGAATTCCATTTGCCTTAGCCTAGGACTCTGCTAAAGAACTTGGCCTGCACTGGTGGTTTGTTTGTTTGTAGTTTTGTGTGTGTTTTTTGGAGGTGGTGGGGAGGCACTGGGATGTTTCAGCTTAGCTTTTAATGTTTTTATTGTGAAGACCATTTGGGAGAGGTAGGAAAATGTTCCTGCATGTAAGGGTTAGGTTTTATATCAGCCATAAACCAGGTTGGAAGCTAGACAGGGAAGCAATCTCAAGTGGTTTAATGTCTCCCACTGTAATTGTCCACATTGATAAAATGCCAATAATTATACCTGCTCAAGGCCTATGTGAGGATTAATGAAATAATGTATGTTTGGGATAAGACTCCCTCATGGGTGCTGGTTTCCTATCCCCATTGGTGGATGGGTTAATGGTTTCTCTGACTGGGCAACTAGTTTACAGGAGGGAATTTCTAAGTTCCTTCTCTATTGTCCTGGCCAAATCCTGACTAACTTCCTGGTGAACCTGAGCACCTAAAAGGAGATCTCACCCCGTTCAACACCCCATAAGATCCCATCTCTAGTGTAAGATCTGTATCTTCCTGTCCAAAAAGGCAGTGTAAGAAGACCCTGAACTCACCTCCTCCCATGAACACATTGAATTCATACCTACAGATAGAGCAGTTCCCCCTGAAGAATACCTGGGGGCTGACTGAGCAGCTTCTACACAACAAGTGAGAAAGAAACCACATAGAAACATGTAGGAGATATGGAGACACTATAGCATGGGAACCCATTCCCAATGCACCAACCTCCAGTAGAAAATGATCCCTGTCTGCCAGGCCAGTGTTGATCAGTGGTTGAGCATCAACCTATGAACCAGGAAGTCACAGTTTGATTCCCGGTCAGGGCACATGCCTGGGTTGGGGGATCAATCCTTAGCAAGGAGTGTACAGGAGGCAGCTAATCATTGATGTTTCTATCTCTCCCTCTCCTTTACTCTCTAAAATCAATAAAAAATATTTTTTTTAAAATAGAGAGAAAGAAAAGAATGACCTTGGAACCAACATGGTGGCATAGGTAAATGGCAGTACTTGACACCTCCCACAACCACATCAAAATTACAACTAAAATACAGAACAACTATCATTCAGAACCACCTGAAATCTAGCTGCATATAAATCCTACAACTAGAGAAGTAAAGAAGAAAGCACATTGAGAATACTAAGAGGGATGGAGGGATGAAATGGGCTGTTCAGACACCCATATGTGGCATTTTTTTAATCAGGAGATATATCTAGGTTACAGATGCCCCCTGTGAGGAACAAGGGGCTCCAGCCCCACACCAGCCACTTAGCCCAGGGTTCCAAAGCTTGGAAGGGAAGACCCCAAAACTTTGGGCTATAAAAACAAGTGCGGAAAGTGGCTAAGTGACACAGAGGCTTCTGGAGTCCCAGCAGTTCCTCTTAAAGGGCCAGCACAGCAACTTATCTTGTCTTACACCCTCTGAGCTCCAGGACTGGGACACCAGCTTAGGGGGATCCAGGAAAATATAGAGAGGAACTGGATTGTCTGGCACTGGGGCAATAACTTGGGAATAGCTTTCTCCCATACAGGGTTGCTCACAGGAGTCATTGTTCCTGTGCTGGGACATCCCTGTAACAGAGCTGGCTGGCAGCCACATCTGAGTCTCCATCAACCTGGCTCACACTGTTGGCTTCACTCTGGTGATTTCCTGAGACCTACTTCACCCAATTTGCATTCCCACCCAAGCTGTTTGCAGCAGTTTTTCCATGTGAATGTCCTGTCCTGACTCAAGTTTCAGATTTAACTAAAACCTCTCAAACAAGCAGCAGCTGGCATCAGAGTACCTCATATCTATCAATAAGAGGCCCAAGACAGAGCACTAACAGCAGCCTTCCTTATTTCACAGCTTGGTCTCACTTGGGCATTTCCAAGCCCAACAAAAGTAGCAGCCATCTGCAGATCCGTATATAGCTAATGCTAGGTATCCGAAGGTAGTGGTGGAATTTGCCATGCTCATGAGGCCCCAGAGCCAGTACACCCAGTGGACAGCTTTAAAAAACACCAGATTACAACTCCATACATTCATGAGGGACACACTCATAAGGAAGACTCAGTGAGCATCAAAACCCAACTGAAGCAATTCCTGCTCCATAATGGTTTCTCCTGCACAGCAGCTCTTCTGCTGTAGTTTCAGCTGGTCTTCACAGCTAATTGGCCTGGAGATCAATTCCTCCCAGTTATGCCAAAAGTAACCAAGGCTCAACTACAACAATACTGTGCACACAACCCACACAAGGGTGCCCAGCTCAGGTGACTGGGGAGGTTGAGCCACTGGGCACTACAGCATACCTACTACACAAGGCCACTCTACCAATTCCAGGAGACACAGCAGCTCTACCTGGTACACAGACACAAACACAGGGAAGCAGCCAAAATAGAGAGACAAAGAAACATGTCAAATATGAAAGAACAGAAGAAATCTGCAGAAAAGGAACTAAATGAAATGGAAGCAAGCAAACTACTAGATACAGAGTTCAAAACTGTTATAAGATTGTTCAAGGATCTTAATGAGAGGTTCAAGGGACTTAGTGAGAATTTCAAAAACATGAAAAAGGACCAGTCACAAATTAACCATACACTAACTAAAATAAAGAATAATTACATGAACTCAACAGTAGAGTAGAGGTTGCCAAGAATCAAATAAACGATTTCCAATGTGAGGAAGCAAAAAACACTCAATCAGAAGAGCAAAAAGAATTCGAAAATATAAAGATAGTGTAAGGAGCCTCTTGGACAACTTCAAATGTATTAACATTCACATCACAGGGGTGCCAGAAGGAGAAGAGAGAGCAAGATATTGAAAACCTATTTGTAGAAATAATTACAGAAAATTTCCCCTCCATGATGAAATAAATAGTCTTACAAGTCCAGGAAGCACAGAGAGTCCCAAACAAGAGGAATCCAAAGAGGCCCACACCAAGACACATAATTAAAATGCCAAGGGTTAAAGACCAAGAGAGTATATTAAAAGCAGCAAGAGAAAAGCAGTTAGTTACCTACAAGGGAGTGTCCATACCACTGTCAGCTAATGTCTCAATAGAAATTTTGCAGGCCAGAACGGAGTGGCAAGAAATGTTCAAAGTGATGAAAAGCAAAGACCTACAATCAAGATTACTTTACCCAGCAAAGCTATAATTTAGAATTGAAGGTCAGATAAAGAGCTTCACAGACAAGAAAAAGCTAAAGGAGTTCATCAC